CAAAAATGAAACCATAGATTATCATTCATTAATGGTGTCCAACAAACCAAACAGATATCACAACTAAAACAATTGGACCATAAAATAGAGGACACATTTCAATACATACTTTTGATAATTGGAAATACATTTGATTGAAATAACACATCGATAGAGAACGTGCTAAAGGATAGGGAGGTATGCCATGTATGCCATGCATTGTAGACGATTTAAAGTATGGATGGATTTATAAATTTAAATTGTTTCATAGATTTAATTTTAAATAAACATAAAATAAATAATAGACACCACCAGATGACTAACAACTCGTTAAATTAATCATAACTTGCATTCAATTTGTCATTATAACATACATTGTCAAGAGTTTTCATACAAAACTGCGCTTTTAAATCATATTTAATAAATATGGTTAAAATTTTAAGTATCCTTCAATTGAATGAGATTTAATTAATACTTTGCATTCATATATTCTATTTAAATATAAAATACAAATTCTCGTCAAATAAAATGATTGCTAACATAAGAGATAAAAGAAAAGTACCAAAAAATGGTTATTAAGAATTGGACGCAGTATTTGAGTCAAACCGTTGACAAGCATTGCAAAGACACCGATGAAAAAGAGATGGACAGATGGGAGGCGGGTGTGAGAGCACACCCAAGAGGAAGAGGGGGAGAAGACATGCGATATGAAGCAAAGCCATTGTGGGCTGTGGTAAATACCATGACAAACTCGTTTGAGGGACAATCTCGCGATCGTTTCTTTCCAGCCGGTAAGGCAGCCAACGACGGAACAGCCGCTTCGGCCAACACGTGCGATGCGGACGGCTATCAGATTGTTATTTAACGTGAAGTAAATTTTGTGGACATTTTGTGGTGTCATATGTATTGATATTTTGTATAAACGTGTGTCAAAAGGCGGGTTGGGATCAAATTATTGAAACAATAATATCCATAGCGAGTGCATTAACAATAGGAGCATAAAAGCAGTCAGAGGTAGTCAAAGGTTACCATAGGGTCACCACAGCCAGCATTAAAGCGGCCAAAATATATCAAAAAGAAATCAAAATTAATTATTATTAATGTTTAAGCGTTTGTTCAAAAGGCATGCATTTATTGCTAATTCATTATTATTATTATCATTACTACTATTAATGAATTTCTAGTTTTAAAGTATTATATTGTAATTATTTTCAAGTCTTAATGAGTATGAGTTTTGTGGTCAGTTTCGGCCAATTCTGGTCTACAGTCTATCACTTACTCACGACATCCGCTCTTAATTGCAGTCATAGAGGATTATGAGTACATAAACGGATGGACAGGGGATGAGGTTTGCCTGCAATACAATAGAGATACCGATGATTAGGAAGTGGTGGCAAAAGAAGTACATCTAAGTCCTCAAAGACAGCAATTAAAGAGCGAATGAGTGATGACTTTTGAAAAGTATAGGCGCAGTAATTGCAACAAATGCATGAAGAGAGTAGTATTGGCACAATTGGCCGGCATATAGTGGCCGAGCAGTCCTACCAGAGCAGCGGAGTTTGGCCGGTTGTGGGCGAGTTTAAGCTGTGCCTGAAGGTGCGGCGGGGGGTGCAAATAACGGCACTGGTCACGAGAACAGCGGCCTTTCACGAAATCCATACACACCGTTACGACACCATCGCTAGCGTCCACTTGCAGGTGATCGGGCGGGTGTGCGAACCGGCACTCAGACTCGGGGCGCTTGCAATTGCCTCTTTGAAATTCACGGCAAACCTGACCAAAACGTGTTACGAGGGGTTAGCTATGAGTGTGTCAGTGGACGACAGGCCATACCTCGAGACGGTCTGTGCGCTGAGTTTTGTGAGAGGCAATGAGAGTAGGAGTAGGAACTACACCATAGTTTGTCGTCAAGTGATCAGCGGCTGACATCAGACCCGGTAAGACAGTAGCGGTAGGATAAGCACCATAAGCAGAAGCGGGCAGATTTGCCATATATGCACCGGTAGTCCCCTATAGACACCAATACATCAAACTAGAAGTTATCATCACTTTTCAAAGCCTAAACATAAGCGCCTCTATTCATCGTCAACAACAAATTAAAGGCCACTTTTGCCCACTTTTCCCCACCATTTTCAGCTCAACCTTAATGCTATACATTTTATACAAATTAGGGATTTGCCAACGATGTGGTCAACACTTTTTAAAATACTCATAATATAAATATTATATAAAAACAAATCTTATGATCGCAAGTATTGTTGACATTATTGACGGCATCTTTTAGTTGACTAACTTTTTACTTTTTTAGTGAATCTATAATACAATTTTCAATGCAATATTACTCTTTGGTGTGAATTAACATGTTCATATTACTATTTAATGTAAATAATGTGTTAGTTTCGTAAATTATAAAAAGGATAATGCAATAAAATTAACAATTTCAAAATTCTACTACTACTACTAAATTCTGCTAATACTAAAAATATTAATCAAGCTAATATTTCATTAGTTATTAACCAAATAAGTATATTACCAAATTATCTATAACTATTTTTGCTAATATTTTATATTTTACCATTAATTTTGAAATTATAATTATTAAAAATTATATTAAATAATAAGTTAACTCCTAAAAGGTGTTGTTGCCTATGATTGGGAGGCCCTGTAGATGAGGAAAAGCATATACAGGATCAGTGTCTACATTCACCCACACATTTACACCAGACATACCACTAAACCCTAACGAATGTGTATCGAGAATCGAGTCGTAAAACTTATTTATTTGCCGTTATATACAGAATATATGACTCGAAATATGCAAAGTTGTGCACATATTATACAGCACTGTATACATCATATAAAAGTTATGCATTACTTTAAGCCTCAATATATGGACCATATTATAAAAGTTGTGGAAATAACTTATTTACTTTATTAACATCATCGATGCTTTCCTATGTTATCATTAATGCAAAATCGTTACTTTTATATCGCGATACTGTAGTAGATATCATATCACTAAAAGCTTTTGGCCCTAAATATCCGGAAACAACCATTTTCTACATATATTGGTGTATCTTTACATTCACTTATTAATTGTATTCATAATTAAACACATAATAAATTTGTCAATAGATAGGTATAGATATAGTATAAAACATAAAAATATATTTCATAAGAATTTCTAGCAATTATTTAATTTTATTTGAGATATTAAATAATATTATATTACAATCTGTATTACAAAATGAGATCAATTGATAAGAGAGTGAATGAGAAGGAGAGAGGATTCAATAATTGGCTGAAAATCAAGACTAAAATTATTTAAAACTATTTACTTTTTAATTCAAGAATAATTTTGATGCGAGTTTTGAAATGTTAAACTAAAATCTTGAGCTCATGTGATAAACAGCATATTTAAAGTAAAGTTAAGACATATTGAAAAATGAAATTCCTTCACAAATATTATTGGTTTGACTTTAAAAGTCGTAAATTTTATTAATTCGTTTAAAAATCTAAATTTAAATGTTTTCCAAGTATTGAGAGATAAACAAATATATCATTGCATTATTAGACTATAGTTGCAACTGTAACCATGCTCTCTTCAGAGCTATAATCAGAGGTTAGGTTTTTAGGTGCTTTCGTTTTTGCCTACCATTTCATTACAGAATCCCTTAATAGTGTTCCTCTATTTGGCTTAATATTGAGTCTTATAAGGAATCTTATGTTAAATCAATTAAGAATTTAATAATTTTACTCACTATTGACTCAACATGTTTTGGTCGTTTCATTTGAAGTCAAATCCTTGATTCTGTTATATTTAGTTATAAATAACGCTTTGTTTGTTTACCGTTAAATAAGTTTTATTAATTTTTACTAAATTAGTAGTACATGTAGATATGTTTTGATGTAAAATACTAAAAATAATACATTATTACAATCAAGTTAGAAATATCAAATGTCTCTTATTTATAACAAAACATGTAAATCTGTACAGCAATACAGTATTAATACAACTCATTACACAATTATATTGTTTATTGTATAAAGTATTTGCTTTATTTAGATAAACGACTTATCGCTTCTCGAAATACGTGATGATTTGATACCGTGTGTCAATAAAACATCAATAAAATGATATAAATCACGTATATTAGTAATAAATATAAACAACGATAACGTGTCGGTATGTCTTATAATGTGTACAATTCGTCACTTCTAGTGATAATCAAAAGAATTAACACCATTTCATTTTTTTGCAAAATGTTTTGTTAATAATGTTATAATACAATCAATACAATCATATCTATTTAGATATGACTTTGTATGGCAATAGAGAAAGAGTATTAACATTTCACTGATTTATATGAACTGTAATTAACTTAAAGCCGTTGTAAATAACTTTTATATCAATAAATTGTGGATATTTTTATTTCATTTAATTCCTAGAAAAGTATATCAAGTATGAAACCAAATGCATAATATTGTATAACATAATACTCAATCTAAAAGTACATGTAACTTGATTTTAGAGTAAATCATATAAGTGTTTATTAGATATTGTAATAAAATTAAGTATTTAAATAGGAAATGCTATCAATTCTCTTCATTTGTTAAATAATTATGTTTTAATTAAATGTGTAAATCATTGACTATTTAAAAGATTTTAAAAGATCATAGCTTTTAATAATTTGTGAAAATCAGAATTAGTAAGCAATAAATAAACAATAAGAATATAAATAAATGAATTCCACCGGAATTAATATTATTAACAAAGTTTTAAATTAATAAAATAAAGAATATGTGAACAATTCCTGAGAAACTATACAGTATTTTTGACAAATTGTCAAATCTATGACAAATATTATAGATTAAATATTTTATTAAATTAATTATATATAATAATTAATCAACTCATTTAGTATTGTGCAAACAGTCACTAAAAGGGCCAAAATCAGCAACAATACAAAGTTGCCAATTAATTTAATTAACAGTAATAATACAGTATATGCCAGATTTCATATATGGCAAACAATACATTATATTCCATATTTTAAAAAAATCCTACCATGGCTAAATTATGTATAATATGGCTAAACTAATGGATTATCTCACTTATGTAACACACGATACAGTACAGTAAGTGTATGGTGTGATAATAATGGCTGTTATTGTAATCTCAATTCAAACTGTTTTCTAAGAATACGGATATTCTTTAAGGATTTCGTAATTAAGAAGTCTTTATTGAAAACATACTGATATATAACGGAATAATTTATACTAAATATCCATCAAATAAAACATAAAAAGAAGTTGTTATCCAAAATATAAACTATGTTTTAAGAGTAAAAATAACTTTTTATAAAAAATGTTTTAAATGAGTGAAGAGTAGAGTAGAGATTGGTTTTTGGGATAGAAATGAGTTCATATGAATTCGCACCAAATATTTACCAGAATATGACTGCAATTGAATGATTTGCCAGAATATAAGTTTAATATACAGAGAAAACGCAAATGTTTTAATTAATAGATTTAGATTTATGAATTGATTAGTGGTTTGTCGGGTATATTAAGTTTATTATGATATAACGGTTAGATGTTATCGAATTACCATATTATAAAACTTTCAAAGTGCTGTTTTACGGTTGACTATAATCTTAATTAATACGACATTCATATATGTATATAAAAATAAGATTCAAAGTGACAACAAATATCTAATGCATTATATTTCGTCAGAATGTTAATTGTTTTTTTGGAAACTTTTCAATTAATACTAACTTTCAAATAGATTTATAAATAAATGTATAAATAGAGAGAAATTGTAAATTATATCCTAATTGCTATTAAAAGAGTGCCTTAGAATCTAAGGCTGAGATGCTATTCAAATCGCTATATTTATCAATTCATATGTTTATAATAAAGTTAACGCATAATTAGAAAACACGATACAAACCATAAACGAAATATTATTTGTAAATTAACAATTTTAAAAATACAGTAATACTGTATAAAAGCGTGCATTTTCACTATATTTCAATACATTAGTATCGATTCGCTTCAAATATAAAAACAATTAATCACTGAATCTAAACCAAGATTGTTTTAATTTAAATCATTGGAAACACGACTCAACGTGTTTTGCACTCAATACTATTTCAATTAATTAATTGCTTTTAAATTCATTTCAAACACTAACCAAATATTTAAGTGACAAAATTGTAAAGTATTTAAAATGGTAAAAATAAGCATACTGTAGATAATTTTATGATAATACAAGCGAAACACAATTCGCAGTACTATTTCCTAAATTTATAAATTGAATGAATTGACGACAATTCGTGTCACAAAATAAAGAAAATCTTCAAACAATGTCTTTGTTTTTTGCTTATTAGTTAAACCGATGTCTAAAAAACATTTATTTTGTTTTAATTTTTTGTTTTATTAAATTAAGAATTTTAATTGTAAAAATGGTTATAAAACAAAAATTCACACTTTAAGCGAAAAACCTAACAAAGGATTGTATTTAAATCATATGTAATAAATTAAAAACATAATAAATTTTATATTTAAAAATGTATAAACTGTTATTTTGCAAAACATAAGTGTTTGTTTAGGGTATCACGTATTCATTGTTTTATTTCTGCATAATTTATAAAAAAACGTATAAAATGTAATGAATTACTAGTGAAGGATAACATCAATTTGAGGTTAAATATCGATGAAATCACATCTTATTAATAAAATATGCTAACAATTGAAATGGCTTTCACTTATATTCACACACTTTTACAAATATTCAAACAATAAGCTAATTTAATAACTTTAAGGTAACTTTATTATTAAATGCAAATTATAAACAATAAAAATTATAAAAGACATTGATTAATCAAAAAACAGTTGTTAGACTTATACACTATAATTGACACAATTTATTTAAATATTTATTATTTAATGATAAAATGTTATTAAATGTTGTTAACCAAGTTTTTGTCAATAATCCAATAAAAAAATTCAATTATGCA